GAGCATTTTACGTTTCGCTAGGTTAAGTATTTTACTCCTCCCCTCCCCCGTAATAAAAAAGTCGCCTTTTTTTTCGGGTAACTCTCCATTATTTAATATTTCATGTAATCCTAGAACTCCTATTTTTATCAGCGGTAAGTCTGCAGTTTTACGACGCTAAAATTCGGGTTTCGACACTCGTGGTGGGAGGAGCACAAATAGCCAATTGTGCAGCTTTGCGCTTAAGAACAACCAAACAAACTTATTTTTATGTGTTTGTAATATGGTATTTAATTTTATCTCTTAAATCTTGTTTTTTCATTTTTACAGCCAGACGTTAATATTACAGAGATGGAACAAGATAATGGACTGATTAAAGGACATGCGTATAGCATCACTGCTGTCCGAATGGTTAGTGCTTATTTTGGATAATTTCAAACTGAAATAGTCGGTTGCTAATAACATGAACTGTCGTACGTTGTTACCTTTATTTCGAACATGGGTTAGGGTTAGTGACGAGAGTCACTGATTGGCAGCTTACAGGCACAAATAAATAATCGTGTAAAGACAACTTTGTTTTTACGAAATAAAATGTGATTTCTACACAGAATAGGAAATACAATCGTTAATTCTTAAATAAAGGGATAACACCAAAAAAAAACTTAATTGTTTGATTTATTCGGAAAAGTTAATGCTCAATATATGTTTTACGTTTTTGTTCCAAAACAAGCCTTTGTGACTGTTTCTACTTTTGAAAAAAGGGGGTGGAAAGCTAAAAGATGAAAAAAAGGCAGCCTTGTATAAGTGTTCGAATTTTTAGACTCATTTTTTCTCTTGCTCTTAAATTTTACACAGTGCTATCTTACAAACAAGTACATCAAACACTTATTAATTCATACTTGATTGTTGTTAAAGGATTTGTCACAGAAATATAAAAATATTTCATAGATATTAACACTTCATAACCTACATTTTTCAGTCCATTCAAGAGTCTTTTTGGATTAATGTATTTTTTTAAACTTATTTCGGTTTGTTACTATGACTTGTGATTTGTTTATAAATCATTAAATGTAATAATATATAAAATTATTAGATTTATTTATTTCTGCTTGCTAAGAATTACATTTCTTATAATTAGTTAATTTCATGTGGCGTATTTCTTTTGTCTAACTTCATATGTCTTGAAATTATCCCGTATTGTATTCTATTTAAATTAAGTGGATTATCAGTAGCCCAGTGAGAATGAATCATTTCTTCAACATCAAAGAAACAACGATGCTGTCTAACTGCTCTGTTGTCCTTCCAGGCAGATAATAGTAACCAAGCTAATCAACTATAAGTTAAATCAACTTCTCTGGTATCCTTGAAACCTTGTTGACCACTTCCTTATTAACAATGAGCCAAGTTAAACTTCAAAATTAATGGTATTTGTAATTCTTGAATTAAATATTTTACTGTTTTGTGTCAACTTATCAAGTCATTTTAAGGTTTCTCTAAAAGTCACATAAAAAATTAGAACTTAGTTTGCTGAGTTTGTAGAAGGAAACAGATACTATTTTAGTTCGAAATTCTTAGAATTATCATGCTCAAAGCGATCTTCAATTTTATTGCTTTACTTTACTAAATGCTTGTCAAGGTCTTTTGACTGTATTTTTCTTCAAGAAAAATTATCTTTGGGAATACGAAATTTTATTTTTATTTAAGGCATTACCTTTATGAAACTTATTGTCAGTATACTAAATAAAATGAAATAATAATAATATGTTAAACACCGTGACGTATTTAGTCTACGCGCTGTTCACGTGACATTATATAAAATCTATAAAATGTTTAACGATTTTTTTCTCTTAAACCTAAAAACCATTTTTATTTACTCTTGTAAAAATTAATTCAGATTAGTAGCAATTCTGGTAGTCTTCCAGTGGTTCAGCAGTAAGTTTACGAATTAGAACACAAAAATCTGGGATTTGATTCCCCGTGGTGTACGGAGTACACATAGCCTATTGTGTAGCTTTATGCTAAAGCAAATAAATAAATAAAAGCTTAAGCATGTGATGGAGTGAAAACTCAGTGTCACAGCACTACTCTGTTTAATTTAAAGATAATTTTGTTTACAGTTAACTTATAGTATATTAGGTAATGAATTACTTTGTAGCAACCTGGCATGACCAGGTGGTTAGAGCGCTTGACTCGTAATATGAGGGACACGGGTTCGAATCCTCGTCCCACCAAATATGCTCGCCCTTTCAGCCTTGGGGGGGGGGGGGTTATAATGTAACTTTCAATCCCACTATTCGTTGGCAAAAGAGTAGCCCAAGAGTTGGCGGTGGGTGGTGATGACTAACTGTCTTTCACTGCTAAATTAGGGACAGCTAGCGCAGATAGCTCTCGTGTAGCTTTGCGTGAAATTCAAACAAACCAAACTTTTGTAGCAGTAGTCAATTATCTAAAGTGTGATTAGACAGAGTGTCAGGAAGGAAGCTGCTTGCATTTGCTTACTTTTACTTTGGAATATGACCCACTGCTATTAATTATACACCAAATATTTGGACCGCGATTACGATAATGATAAACCACATAACTATTTCGAAAAAGGTGCATTAAATAGTTTATTATTGGCCTCACTAAGCAGATCAATTTGAAGTAATTACTATGGTTAAAAAGCCCTTGCTGTTTAGAAGAAACATACACTTATAAGTCAAAGTTTAAAAGATGTGATTCAACATATTTTCCATCTTCAGTCGGGACTGTTATATATCGGACGACCACCGGGTTGTTATGAGATTGAAAACGTGACACATGGAGTTATATGGGGGAAAAATGAGTTGTTTTGCACTTTAAATCATAAAAATAAAAACGAGATACAATGAGATTTAGAACATGGACATAAAAATCTCGAATTTTCACGTGGCTTCACGTGAATAAAATAAATTGTTTTTCCAACAGTCAACTCTGCATTAAATTCATGCCTTCGCATAAGTACACGAAGCAGTATTTCTCCCTTCCAACCCCCCTTGCAATACAAAACAACTAACTGGTTTACTGTTAAAAAATACCGGAATAATTTGATGTTTTATGAATCCTTCTATTTTAAACCCAACTTCATCTCTTTCTATCTACTCTATCTCCTAGGGTCGTCACTGTTTTTTCTCTCTTGAGTTCTACATTCTTGCTTACATTAAGACAATTTACCTAGGATTGTTACGTGATTAAAAGTTATAGAAAATTCTCAATTGGTTTAACAATATTGACCAACGCAGTGAAACTACAAATAACCTCTGACGTCACGTGTCCACGCCTACCCACCAAACACGTAAGTAATCAACAAATATTCACCTTACCATACACACACACACATATATATATATATAATAACACATTTTTGACCTTGCAACGAGGAAATATTTTTCATCTGTAATAACTTGAGATGGCTATAGGTCACATTTCTAATACCTTGTGGTTTGTATGATCAGGTTGAAGTTGACACTCCAAGAGTAACCGGAAAGATACCCCTGATTAGGGTTCGCAATCCTTGGGGTAATGAGTGTGAATGGAAAGGAGCTTGGAGTGACAGGTATTTTGTTTCTGCTTCTTAAATAAATATTTTGTTTCACCATTGTAATTCGTTTAGGAATAACTCACACTTTCTGTGAAAGAACTGATAATTATATATAACTATTAGGGTTTAGATTATTTTCAGACTACAGTTCTTGTCATTTCGTGTTGAGCATCTTGAACCGAATTGTATTTTATTTGGATACTCTGTTGTGTTTTTTTCTTAGGAAAGTATTTCATTGGTTATTTAATATTGTGAAATATTATTGATCCTTGCTTACCACAGGGGCACAAATGGTATTCCTACTATTTCTTCTCCTATCATTCAATTATAAAATATTTGATATTTGTCGAACTTACCAGTTTTGCCTGATTCTTGAGAATACAAAATGCCTGATTGCGAAATAATATTTCAGAGTTTTTAAATTTCTTTGGCCATAGTAGTTTTCTCGCTAATCTTTCAGATCTCCTGAGTGGACTTTGGTAAATGAAAACGAAAGAAAAGAGTTAGGACTGACATTTGACCATGACGGAGAATTTTGGTGAGTAGAATATATTTACAGTCTTAGGGAGTGAATGCGCATCGTCGACATGGAATTATTAGCCGCGATATAGCGGCTCATAGAAAGACTCGGATTTTTTTTTCAAGTACAAACTTTGAGATCTTAGCTCTATCTCTTGACTAATTTGAGATCCAATTACAGCCAGTGCAATTGAGAATTTTCCTCTTGTTTTTAATATATACTGGGAAACGTAAAACTTACAAATTACAATTCTTCCATAACATGCACAGGCAGAAAAGTTACGTTTTATTAGTCTCATTTATAAAAACAAGCTTTTCACATGTAATCACCTTGAAAGGTAATAATCTATGTAGAAGAGAACATCAGTAACTTTGTCCAATGATGGTGTATACTGTCCAACGAAAAATATAGAAGCTTATTCTCAAGCCATTGTCAAATCTCTTTCACAGTGATCGTCTAGTAGTAAGTTTTGGGTTGTAGCTTAGGAGTTTGGTATCTTAAACTTTTAACTTCAGAGATTCAAACTAAGTGCACATATTTCGTTGTTTATTTTTTAGCGGCTTTTTTTTTCAAGTACAAACGTTTAGCTCATCTTTTGACCGATTTGAGATATAATTACAGTTTTGGACTCAGGAGGTCAAACCCTTTCGATTGATGCATTTGACCACGCCCGAGGTCTCATAGATTAATTTACTCTAATCCTGCTTAAAAGAATTTCAATTTGAGGGTAGATTGGTAGAGATCCTGATGAGTAATAAAATCGAATCGGGTATACGCGTGCCCAACACTTGGTATTGCTGGCGCACAAAAATAAAGGTAATAAAAAGGGGAAAAAAGTCATCATAAATTAACTTACTCTAATCCTGCCCAAAATAATTTCAAGTGCCGCGGCTAGTGCAGATTCCCTCTTGTTGTTTTTAAAACCTGCTAGCACAAGTGTGTATGAGGCCTTAGGGTTAGCTACACTACTTAAACTTTAGTTTATTTTTTCAATTTTGTTGTTTGTAATGTGAAACTTTGACAATGTTTCAATAAATGACCAACCACGAAGATATAAGATTACTATATATAGTTGCACAAGTCATAAGATGCCAATGTGCATAAAATGGAGCAAAGATTACATACAATTATTAATGTTTATTAATCAAACCACAGATTAGAAATTCTCAAGGGCCATATAGTAATAATTTCATGCGAATAACTGGATTATAACTATGGCAATTTTGTGGGGTTTTCAGGATATCCTTCAGAGACTTCGTTTTGAACTTCACCAGACTAGAGATCTGTAATCTAAACCCAGATTCCCTAGATGATGAGCCTCTCACTCAAGTGTCAAAGAAAAAATGGGACACTCACGTTTTTGAAAGTAGCTGGGTTCCAGGATGCACTGCGGGAGGTTGTAGAAACTATCTGGGTGAGTGTCTATAAACAACATGTTAATATTCTACATGAAGAGAGATTTTGCTTACAGATATATATATATACAACATTATTGTTGACCAAAGTTTATAATATATTTTAATTCCTTTGGTACTAAAATTGCTTAAATGATAATTTTTTTAAATGTTAGATGCCTAAGATGTCACTTAGAAAAAACTTAGGTGCCTACTCAGATCTTATATATTGTTATTATATGTATGAAAACATTTTTAAGTATCACACAGTTTATATATATTTATGAAAGTAATATTAATAGATCTTCCAAATTTCATTAACTGTTTCATATGAACAAAACTTTCTATATATCCTATCTATCGCCAGTCATGGGAAGATAGATATTTCTGATAAAAAAGAGAAGCAATGAAAGAATAAAACACCCAAGTGAACGTATAATATAGAAACAGATAAACAGATAGACTACTGAGATTTATGAGAAATATTCATTTCCTGAAAGGCCAGGCGTGGCCTAAGGTTATCACGTAGAGCTGCGTATAGGAGAGTCCAAGGTTCAAGACATGATGTATCTGAAGCTCCACATTTTCAGTTGTAGGTATTTTATAATAATGGCAATCCTGTCACGCTGTTAAAAGTATTGGACAAAGCCCTGGCGATAGTGGATGTTGCTGGCTGACAGTAGCTCAAATTAGGGACAGCTATTCCTGAACTCTAGGGTCCCTAAACTGACCGTTTTAGCCCACATATGTCCTTAGGATTTTAAAATTCCAATTTATAGCTTCTAATGGTGGCATTTAAGCCAATATAATGATCATGTAATTGTATGAACAGTATAATGCAACTATATACTCACACACACAAACACACATTTATCACTTAATTATTTTCCCCTTACATAGATGGCGTACGTTTTCGATAATGTTTGTTTAAAAATTATACAAGGTTTGTTCATGGTGTGCGATTATTCCTGCAATTAACTGAATATTTCTATCAACTTAAGTTTATTATTAATTTTGTAGACACATTTTGGATGAATCCTCAGTACAGAGTGACACTGGAAGATGTTGATGATGATGACGATGATGAACTTTGTACTATGATAGTGGCTTTAATGCAGAAACATCACAGATCAAAACGAAAAACGCGGCAGGGTTGTTTAACGATTGGCTATGCTATTTATAGTGTAAGTCGTTATAATCAATCCATTCCGGAAATATGTTTTAATATATACCGTTTTTGTTAAACATTTTAGATGTTCAAGATTTCTTTGTTCCTTTGCTTTAGGCGTTGCCTAAAACTGTTAGAAGGTAGAAGAATAAAAATATTTTGTTAATATGAAATATAAAACGAAATATATCTAATGTAACATATAAGAATAAATTAATAATGACTGCCTTGAACAGCTACAGACGACTGGTGCAAATAAACTTTATACGGACTTTATTTTGATACATAAGATTGTCTATTACAAATACCCGAAGAAACACGAAACAATTTATTTTTTTAGAATTGTTTCTATTTTACTATCTACGTGACCTAGAAAATAGGTGTTCCTGATTCTGTTTCAGTTCTAAAAGAAACGTTCAATGTATCTTCCTTGCCATCAAGTTGTCAATAGTACTAATTCACTATACACATCATCCAGAAAATATAAAAATATTTTTTGTGTTGTTTATAATCATTTAATCAAATGAAAGAACCAGATAGCCTATCTTCCTATTCTCTAGTTTGTGTTGCTTATAGTTTATCTTATCAGTTGTTTGATCCAGAAAAAAATATAATATCATCAAGGTATATATGGTTGTCGTTTATAAGCTTTTACTCCTATTTTATCAGCTGAATGACCCAGACAACCTACCTAAACCACTGCCGAAAGACTTCTTCAAATATACTGCTTCAAAAGCTAAGTCTCCTTCCTTTATAAATTTACGTGAAGTAAATTGTAGATTTAAACTTCCCCCTGGCTCTTACTGTATCATCCCATCTACTTTTGATCCTGGGGAAAGAGGAGAGTTTGTCTTGCGGGTGTTCACAGAGAAAGAAAACAAAATGAGGTAAAAAAGTTGCAGTGTGAGCTTATTTAAGTAGACAAATATTTATGTTTTTCAGGACAAAAAGTGTTGTTGTAATTACGAACAGTATTTTACAAAAGAACAGCTGCTTCCAAGTTACTTACGTTGAACATTTTACTAGTTTCTTTTCTAGATATTTACTCTTGAAACAGAACACTTTCGGGGACCCTGCGAAAGTACATCTAGTACTAGTTTCTTTTCTAGATATTTACTCTTGAAACAGAACACTTTCGGGGCCCCTGCAAAAGTACATTTGGTACTAATTTCTTTTCTAGATATTTACTCTTGAAACAGAACACTTTCGGGGACCCTGTGAAAGTACATCTAGTACTAGTTTCTTTTGAGATATAATGCACTTATATTATTAGTAAATGAATAGCTATGCTATTTTTAGGGGCAAATTTCACATAATGGGCCAAAAGCGATGTAAATCGATCCAAGGCATCGAATAATGTAACTGTTTTTAAATAAAATTTGCATGTGATTTAAGAAAAAAACACCATTACAAAAAAAAATGAAGAAAAGATTAGTTACAGTAATTGCGAGAAAAATTAAGACATGGAAAGACGTAAAGATGAAGCGTTAAAGGAACCTAAAATTAACCGAAAATAATAACTAAAAGTGTGTTATAAACTTACATCTTAAAATGCTAAACATAATCGTATAATTTTACACACACAAAAACTTGCAAAAAGTCGCTTAATGTTTCCTTAAACTACACTTTAGCTAAATTACACCAATCACAAATAAACCACTTACTCCTTAAGCGAAATTAAATTACTTAGCAAAAAACCCTATAAATATCTTTAGCTGAATTTAACTAATCCCTTACAGTTATTCTGTACATCTTGGTTTTTTATCTACTTTAAATACTGTTGCAAATTAATGTCTAAAGAAGAAGGAAACAGAATCTGACATTCAACAAACATGTGTTAAATCAGTCAAAATCTACAATAAACCAACTCAACGGCACCATAAAATTAATGGTGTTTCCTGATAATGACTTATTGGAAAGCATGGTCCTGCTCCATTCATCATTGGTTCCTTGAGCGTTACCTTTTTCTCAATATTAGATTGAAAACACCTAAGCAAACCAAAAACAAATGTTCGAAAATAACTGACGGAACATACAGCAAAACTAATTAACAAAACCATATCCTGTTCATCCAGGGCTATCTTTAGATATGAAACACAACTATATTTAACCCACTTTAACACTTATCAGGGAGCTGAAAGTCTCAAATAGTAAACTGCGGTTACTTATTATTTATCAGATAACACAATACTTGCTATAATACTATGAAGTGACGATGAACACAACACAAAACGATGTTTAAACCAGCTAAATGAGTGAAAGATACAGCAGTATTCTCCCCCGAGGTTCCAAAGTCATGTACAATCTTATCAATTCAGAGTTCATAATATGTATATGCATAACCCCCTTTTTTAAAAAAATAAACTTTTTGTTATATATATATATATATATATATAAAGAGTTAATTTTTCTAAGGAGGTTATATACTGAGGTAAAC